AGGTAGAGTTGGTTCCCTGGCTAGGGTTGGAGACACCTAGCTGTGGAGAGTTATTCTAAATCCTTTCTGCAAAACTGACAACTGTTTCTAATTGTGGTTTGTCTGGATTTTGCATTTTGGAAAGTTCTAAAGAAGTATTCAAGTGCTGACACAAGTAACAGAATCTCAGAATTATTTCAGAGACTGAGGAATCCAGCCCTTTTACTCTTCAGATGGGGGAAATTGGGGCTCAGAGAGGTGACATGACTTGTCCAAGGTCATAGCTAGCTAACGATAGAGCCCAGACTCAGACTGAACTGGGACTCTTGCTGAACCATAGTTCAAAGTCCCTTTTGTGTTCCAGATTCTTCTAGTAAGTTACAATTCATAAAGGAGCCTCCCCGTTCCATTGACCCTGCTGTATAGATACACATAATCACTAACCACAGATGTCATTGAGACTTGTGTGTGGACAGGCGGGACCCAGCAGCTGAGCTATTTGCTCTGGGTTTTTTTAAGCCAAGCCCCACTGGATTTTAGCATATTGGAGGTAGCATAAAGGGAATATCCTGAAATCCAACAATCTAGAAGCATATAGGGCACCTCCTTGTACCTTTTGAGAAGAGAAACTTCTAGAGATGCTATACACAGTGAAGGAAGGGAACGTCTATTATTTTTTAAAGCTGGGGTTTATTTTATTATTATTATTACATGAGGAGTTTATTATTCCTTAAACTGCATATCCTCATGATATTTACTCTTGTAAAATAATTTCATAATACATTTCCTTTTTTAAAGTAATATATTTCAAATGAAAAATTTAAAAAGAAAATGAGATGGGAAAGGGAAAAGGCAACTCAGTGTGGTGATGTAGCCCTCTGAAAGACAGAATTCTCATAATGGGATGATGATCAGATACGATCAACACAGAGAGTTTGTCAGACCTTGGTGCAGTTTGGTGACGGCAGTTCTCAAATTTAGTTCTCATAATCATCTAAGGAGTTGGAGTCATCTTTGCGACCCCATGGACTGCAGCCTGCCAGGCTCCTCTACCCATGGAATTCTCCAGGAAAGAATACTAGAGTGGATACCCACCTCCCTTCTCCAGGGGATCTTCCTGACCCAGGGATTGAAGCCAGGTCTCCTGCATTGCAGGTAGTCTGTTTACCATCTGAGCTACCAGGGAAGGTCCTCTCATACTTTAGACCAAGAAAAATTCCAAATATTAAAGATGCAACCAAAATAAAAGGGGATAAAACTATTTTTTATCTGAGTGAAAAGGAGTTTTGAAGTACAACTCAAAATCAGTGATGGAAAAAAAAAGATTGATGAGTGTGACTATACAAAATATAAATCTCCACAGGAAAAAAAATTATCTGCAAGCTCAAGAGATAAAGTAACAACAACAGAAAACTGGGAAAAACATTTGTAATCAAACCACAAATAAAGGGCTCATTTCTCTAACAGATAAATTAATAAGAAAATATCATCAAAACAAGAGAAAAAAATAATGTTTTCAAAAAAGTAATTGCAGAAGGCTTTTAGTTACATTTGGTAAAAAAAAAAATTACAGATACTAAAAATGGTGCAAATTTAAACGTTGGCACATGTTTTACCTATTATCTTTGCAAAATTTTCAATGATTGATGACACATTGTGTTGGCAAAGACTTTGGGGAGACAGGTATGCTTATACAGCAAGGGGTTAAGGTGAATTTCCTTGGGAGGGAAATTTGTCAATGTTTGTCAAAATCACAGCTATGTGTGTAGTCTTTGGCCCAGCAATCTGAGAAATTTCTCCTACACTGGATGTGACGCCCATGGATATTCACTGCAGTATTGCTTGCAACAACAAAAAAATGATATCCTAAATATCCATCAGTAGGGGACTGAGGAAATACCATATGGTACACTCACACAATGAAAAAAACTATTAACCTGTAAAAAAAAAATCTCTGCAGCTGTTTATGCTTTGATAGGGAAAGATCTGGAAGGATACACAGGAAAAGCAGTAAAGGTGATTACTATGTAGGATAGTGGGGCTTCCCAGGTGACGGTATAGTGGTAAAGAACATGCCTGCCAATACAGGAGACACAAGAGATGCGGGTTTGATCCATGGGTCAGGAAGATCCCTTGGAGGAGGAAATCGTAACCCACTCCAGTATTCTTGCCTGGCCAATCCCATGGACAGAGAAGCCTGGTGGGCTACATTCCATGGAGTTGCAAAGAGTCACATGGCGGAAGCAACTTAGCACGCACACACGGAGGGTACTAGGCAGATAAGGCACAGTGTGGAAGGGAGGCTCTCCATTGTTTAATTTTTTATTTTTGAATTGTGTAAATGAAGTATCTATTCAAAATTTGATTTAAATAATTATCTGAGAAGCCTGTTAAACATATAAGTGATTTCCCCTAATATTAACTCCACTGAGACAGAATCTCCAGCTATAAGCAGGAGTGCCCTCACCTGTAACAGTATGTGTGGTTATTTCTTTAAAAAAAGAGATACACCCCTTTAGCTCCAGTTTCTGAATTTAAAGTAAGAATGCCACTTATTCCCCCCTCTGGAGATTGAACATAGAATAAACTCACCATCTGCCCAAGTTTGCTAAGATGGATGTTATAATCATTTTATGGCTTCCTGAGAACAATTCGTACAATTTATGGCCAGGGATGGTTTGTATATCTCTACTCTTTTTTGTTTGCATTATTTTTAAAAATTGAAAAAGAAAAAAAAACCCTATTTTGTCCTCTGGGTGACAGATAGATGAAGAGAAGACCAGTCAGCCTTCAACCATTGTTTCTAACTAGTGTCCTTGAATTTATCCTCATGGTCTGTTCAGAATAACAGTATATATTGATGAAAATACCACAGTGGAAACAAACAAATAAAAACTCATGCCTATGGCTAAGCTGGAAAGTTATAAAAAAATCTGTCTTTTCTGATATCTACCAAAAGTGAACATCCCATATCCTATATCCTATATCCTATATCCTATATCCCATATCCTATAGTTTGGCAATTCCAATGTTAGGTATGTAACAAGGAAAATGTATCCAGTGGCGCAACAAAAGACATGTATGAAAATAGCCCTCAGGAGCTTTACTCATAATAGCCCCACGTGGAACATCACCCTAACGTCCATCACGGTTAGAAGAGACGTGTGCACTGTGGTATGTCCCCACACCAAAAATTCTGCATAGCAGTGAGAACAAAAGAACCAGAAAGACATGCAGTGATCCCACTAACAGAATGGTGAGCCAGAAAAAGGGCAATCCACAAAGAAAACACATGGTGTGATTTCATTATATGTTAGAATAACAGGACAAAAGAATCTACGGTTTTAGAAGTGAGGATGGTAGATGGAAGACAGTAGAGTAAGTTCCCTACATATGAACAAGTTCCATTCTGAAAGCGAGTTCATTAAGTCCAATTGGTTTGTAAGTCCAACAAAGTTAGCTTAGGTCCCCAGATAACTCAATTGGCTATATAGTACCGTACTGTAATAGGTTTATGATACGTTTCACGCAAATAATGCATAAAAAAACAAACAAGCACAAAAAACAAAGAAAACATTTCCAATCTTACAGGACAGTACCTTGAAAAGTACTGTAGTCTGGGACAACAGCTGTCATACAGAGGCTGGCATCGAGGGAACAGGCAAGAAAACGTACTGACGGAAGGAGGGAGAAGACGTGGGAGACGGGAGAGCCGAAGGATCTGGGTGGTTACGTCACCTGGACAAAGTCATCGAGCTGCATATTTAATACTTGCACATTTTCTGAATTTTTGTTATGCCTCTCAGTAAGTTTTTAAAAAGTCATGAGCAGTGTGTGAACGAGTTTTGCATAAGTAATAGGCTCGACTGCTAAATAAATGCTCTCCCAGCCCCTGCTGAGATACCAAGAGATCCCAAGGAGACTGAAAGACAAAATGCCATTGGCCACAGCTCCTGGAAATGGTGCAGAGATGCGGGCTTGATGGTCTAGAGGGGTCCCTCTGCCCCACCAGAAAGAAAGCAGCAGCAAGACCTTCTCAATGCTTGGCAGAACAGCCAAGGGAAAGAGGCTATGTGTTAATCTGCAAGAAGAGTACACTGCAGCCCATTTTACTTCAGAATTCCTGACAGTTGGGATGGTCCACGGAAGTTAATTTTCTGGATAAGCAAAAATTTCCTCTTTAAACAATCCCATCATTTGAAACAGAATTATTTTTAATGGAACCTTTAAAAAACACATTTCACACATCCCTGACTTTTCAAAAAGTTGAAGAGTCCACGGAATAGAATTTAACCTTTACACCAAATAACACTAGCAATTAGGTCCCATTTCAGTGCCAGGCACTCTCTGAAATGCTTTACAGTAAATTTGCTCTTAATCCTCATAAAACCCCTATGAATGAGGTCTTATCATTATTCCCACTTCACGTATGAGACCGAGGGTGATTGATTAACTGTCCGAGGGCATAAAACAGGTCTTCTGTTTACAGCCTCAGTTATTTTGCATCTGCTATCTCCCACAATGCCAACAGGTAGACAAGAATGTTCACTGTACCTCTAGAGAGACTGAGTTCTCACTGCTTTTCTCTCCATATTTCCTTTCTCCTTCCTCAATGTAACACTCTGTAGTTTCTACAGAAGGCTACACCTCATAAACTCCTGCCCAAAATCAGATAAAAATCGATAGCACTGTGTTTTCCCCACTTTATATAAACTCCATCTCCTTAGATCTTCCTGTGGCTAAAATAATCCCATTGAGTTGGGCCAACACTTTTATCAGATTAAGAGATCCCACTGGTTCTCTGCATTTCAAAGTGTCCTGGATTTGCTTTTTGCTTAACACAACTCAGAAGGAAGGCTTGGATTCTCATCAGATTAACAAAAAGCAGCCCTCAGCGGGGCGCCTCCTTGACCTCCAGCTCCTGAGAAAGCACAACACAGAAGCAGGCAAGCACCTAGGCGTGCAGTCACCGTCTGTAAGGCACATGGATGGGCAGAGCAAAAGAAAAACCCCATCCTTACCCTGTTTTCAAGCTGACCAAGGCGTCCTCGACTCCCTTCTGATTAAATTTGGTCATGTACTGGTGCATGTAGGGGTAGTTGTTCCGGATGTTTCGCTCTGTACTGCCGTTGGGCACCGTGCCAAATCGAAAGGGCGGGGAATAGTCGTGAGGTCTCTGAAACTGCAGAGAGACACAGAGAGAAAGAGAGCAGGAGGTCAGCCATCCTTCTGCCTTGGGTCAAGCGTCAAACATCAGCATGCGTTAGCACAGGACAGAAGAAACCCATTCAGTTTTGGGCTTCCTTTCTGCTTAATCACACCTTCCAGTTGTCTGGGGGCTCCAGGAAGTCAGAAACAGAGTCTGTCTCGTTCCTTACTGTTCCCCAGAGCCCAGCACAGGGCCCGGCGGGGTGTGCAATAGAAACTTGTTGGGGTGGCATTTTTAGGTCCCATTACAGAGACTGGCCTAGTGGTAGAGACACAGAAAGAACCTGGGAAATGCTAGTTGAGCTGGAGTTAATGCATGACTCTAGTTCATTCATTAGTTCTACAGTGACATTTTCTGAGACCCTCACCAATCACTCTTGTCTCTGGACTCCATTTACAATTCCTTCCAATACATTCCATCAGAAGATGATGAAGGGGAGCAGAATTTGCCATCCCCAAATATGCCTCTCTGGCATATGGATTTTTGGGGGGCTGGCTATCTTCTTTTTAAGATATAACAGACACAGGAGAAACTCTGAAAACTGAGTCCCAGTTAACCTTTTTGGAAGAAGCAAAAATCTTACATTTTAAGGGAGTCTTCCTCTCTGTAACCTGGAAGAGGAAGATGACTAAATCACTAAAACTCTTATCAGTGGAGAAGGCAGTGACTTAAATCTGCATCATGACCATACCCTTGCTTACTGACTGTGCTTTTCCTGCTTTTCCTGACCTTCCTTACTCCCTGCCACACGTCCCCAACCCTCACCGCCCTACATCTTTCTTACATCTTCAGCTGAAGATAGAATTTAAGCTGGTGGTTTGGGCTATTTTAGGGAGTTACTCAGTTTTCTTGGGTATCTCCCATATATACAGGAGGTATACAAGTTTTTCTCCTGTTAATCTGTCATTTTTCTATGGGGGGTGGAGGTCTCAACCAACAACCTAGAAGGGTAGATGGACAGTCATTTTTCTTCCCTCACAATGATTCTATGTTATCATTCACTCTTTCTCTAGCCATCATTCATTCATTCATCTATTCATGCATGCAGGCACGCAGTACTTATGGAGGGCCTAACACATCCCAGGGGCTTCTCTGATGGCTCAGTGGTAAAGAATCCGCCTATCAATGGCAGAGACACAGATTCGATCCCCGGGTTGGGAAAAATCCCCTGGGGGAGGAAATGGCAACCCACTCCACTATTCTTGCCTGGGAATTCCCATGGACAGATGATCCTGGAAGCCACAGTCCATGGTGTCACAAAAGAGTCAGGCACAAGTTAGCAACTAAAAGAACAACCCATCCCAGGCACAATGGCAGGCTCCATGAAGGTTTCTTGAACTGGAATCCATACTAACCATTAGCTTCCCAGGCATTCCCATGTCCAGTATGGCTCCTAAGCCTCCGTGATGGCTCACTGTCCATGCTCCCCTCGTCTTCCCTGATTGGCTGAGATTGTCTGTTCAGAACAGTCCTCCCCAAGATGTCCCACTTTGATCATGCAGTTATTTTTTTCACTCTATTTATGCTGTGTATCACATCAACTTATTTTCATGTGTTTTCTCATCCACACGTTCTTTGGATAAATTTCATTTGGTCATGACATCTCATTCCTTTTATATACTCCTGCTTGATTTGGTTTGCTAGTGTCTTGGTGAGGATTTTTGCATCAATATTTTAAAAAGGTGTAGAGAACAAACATATGGACACCGAGGGAGGATGGGGAGGGTGGGATGGATCGGGAGATTGGGATTGACAAATATATAGCAATATGTATGAAACGGATGACTATCAAGAACCTACTATGGAGCACTGGGAACTCTGCTCAATGCCCTGTGGGGAAATAAATGGGAAGGAAACCAGGGAGGAGGGGAGTCACTCTGCGGTGTGGGAGGAACTAACACAACCTTGCAAAGCAGCTGTGGGCTTGTGCCCAGTCGCTCAGTCCTGTCTGACTCTCTGCGACCCCATGGACTGCAGCCCGCCAGGCTCCTCTGCCCATGGAATGTCCAGGCAAGAATACTGGAGTGGGGTGCCATTTCCTCCTCCAGGGGATCTTCCCAACCCAGGGATCAAACCCACTTCTTGCATCTCCTGCATTTAACCTCCTGCAGGCAGGTTCTTTACCACTGAGCCACCTGAGAAGACCCAAAGCAACTATACTCCAATTAAAAAAAAACATATCAGCCCATCATTTTTTTCCTTGTGATATCTTTGTTTACTTTAGTGTCAAGGAAAAATACTTGCTTCATAGAATAAGTTAGGAAGTATTCCCTTACTCTCTATTTTTCTGAACAGTTTGAGAAGGATTGGTGTTGATTCTTTAAACTGGTAAAATTTACCAGTGAAGCTGTCTGGTCCTGAATGCTTCCATTCTTTAAAAAAAATTTTTTTTATTGAAGTGGAGTTGACTTAAAATATTGTGTGAGTTTCTGGTATACAGCAAAGTGACTTGGTTATATATACATATTTTTTCATATTCTTTTCCATTACAGTTTATTATAAGATATTGAACATAGCTCCCTGTGCTATACAGTAGGACTTGTTGTTCATCTATTTTACATACAGTAGTTTGTATCTGCTAGTCCCAAACTCCTAATTTATCCCTCCCGCAGATACACCAATTTGGCATGTGAATTATTTTGAGCTGAAGGCATTCGAGATCCCATGGGCTCAAGAGAAACGTTTCCCCCTTCCCTTAAAGAATTTAAATTGGGGGGCCTTGCCCGTAAGAAGAATGATTATCAGAAATAAGATTTTATGACCTATGACAGGCAAACATTTAATTACTGAACATCTGCTCTTCTCATCATCCTGTGACTCACCCATCTCCCTCTGCGGCCGCCGGCTCCTACTCTACTCCTTAGCTTGGAACGGCACTTCTTCCTGATTTTACCTTTCTGTCTCTGACCCTCTCGTGTAAGGTGGTGGGGGGTGGGAGGGGGTTCCTGTACATACAAAATTAAATGAGGTTTTCTCCTGTTGGTCTGTCTCACGTCAATTTAATTCTAAGACCAGGCAGAAGAATCCAGAAGGACAGAAAAAGGTTTTCTTCCTCTCTGACATCTGCTCACACCTTCAGTGTTTGGGGTAATCTAATCAGATTAGGCATCCAGAGAACTGGGTTGAAATCCTGGAAATACAGTTAAAATCTAGAGACAGCACAAGGCGACGGTTACATGTGTGAGCTCAGCTTCACAGGTTCCAAAATCAGGTTCATCCCTTACAGAATGTGGGGTCTTAGAGAAGTCACTTTCCTTCCTGCCGCTTCCACTTATTTCCTGTCTGCAGAGTAGGAAACTCACCAGTACTTCCCTCTTGGGGTCAATGGGAAGATCTAAAACTGCAATGTTTGTCAAGTAATGAGAATAGTGTCTGGAACAGAAGAAGCACTCACAAAACTGTTCATAGCTAGTGGGAAACTGCTATATAGCACAGGGCGCCAGCCTGGGGCTCTGTGATGACAGAGAGGGGTGGGATGAGGGGGTGGGAGGGAGGCTATACACACAATTATAGCTGATGCGTCTTGTTGCAAGGCAGAAATCAACACAACATTATAAAGCAATTATCTTCCAATTAAAAATAAATTTAAAAAATTTTAAATAAAAGAAAATAAAACTCTTCTTTTTCATTTCTACCATCATCCTGGGCAAAAAAAAAAAAAAAATGTAACCCGGACCTTATTTTTCTATGAAATATGGAATTCTGGAACCAGAAAGTGATGGTGATATGACTAAACACTTTTGGGTGACTTGGTTGGGGCCAGCAATGTGCCAAGAACATAACAAATATTGGCTCATTTAATACAACAACCCTGTGTGTATGTTGCTCGCTCAGTTGTGTCTGACTCTTTGAGACCACATGGACTGTAGCCCACCAGGTTCCTCTGTCTATGGAATTCTCTAGGCAAGAATACTGGAGTGGGTTGCCATTCTCTTCTCCAGGGGATCTTCTTGACCCAGGAATTGAACTCAGGTCTCCTGCATTGGCAGGCAGGCTCTTTACCATCTGACCCACCAGGGAAGCTCTAAAACAATTCTGCCAGGTAACCAATCTTCGAGGCTTCGTTTCACAGATGAGGAAACCAAGGTTCAGAGAGGTTACATGACCTTCTTAAGATTGTTGTTGCTGTTCAGTCACTAAGTCATGTCTGACTCTTTGTGACCCCGTGGACTGCAGCACGCCAGGCTTCCCTGTCTTTCACCATCTCTCAGAGTTTGCTCAAACTCATGTCCATTGAGTCGGTGATGCCATGCAACCATCTCATCCTCTGTCGTCCCCTTCTCCTCCTGCCCCCAATCTTTCCCAGCATCAGTGTGTTTTCCAATGAGTTGGCTCTTCCATCAGGTGGCCAAAGTGTTCTTAAGATTATACTTCTTGTAAGCAGCCTCAGGTCTGAACTTTATAATTTCTCCCGGACCCTCACCAGTGATCTCTCCTCTTTTAGAGGTGAGGACCTTGAAACCCAGAGGGAAGGACAGCCAATAAACCTCTGGCAGCACCACGGCTGGGCTCCAGAGGTCTCTCAGAGTCCCAGGCCAGCACGTCTTCCACGGAACTGAGAGTTGCCCCTGGACGCGTCCAAGTTTATCCCAGGGTGAGGCCCGTGGAAACCACTATTCCTTTCTCTAGACTCACACTTCATTTCACTGTTAATTAAAATTTCCAGCTGCAGATCATCCCCCTTAAATTAGGCATGCTGCTGCCTAGTAAGCAGCTGTAACTGGATTGGGGAATGGGGGGGGGGGGGGATGTGGCCATACATTGTCCAAATGAGATCCTCCTGCTGGGAGCCTTGTGTTGGGAGTGGGTGTGTTTGCGTGTGTGTGCAAATGACAGAATGCTCTTTGCACTCACTCAGGCAAGCAGCGTCACAACCCATCACCTCGGAGGTGGAGGCACTAGCCCAGTGTGCTGGCACAGCAGCTGTCTGCTCGGGGGCACGGAGGCAGTGGCTCTGCTCATAAATCGAGGCA